TTTTAGCTATAGTTTGAATTTGGGGTAAAATTTGCTGCTTGGCGGAGGTCTGCACTTTGAGTGCTTTTCTAGATATCATGTTTTAGTCTTTTAAACTGTTCATTTTTAAAACTAAAATAATCAAATTATTTAGGGTTAACTCAATTTCAGATTTTTTTCTCATACTGATGCAAACAGGAAAAATATTTTTCTGTTTGCAAAAAATAAGGACTAAATCTTAAAGAACTATCATAAAGAATTTCCCTAAATAATCTCTTACAGAATAATCAGGCCAGACACTGAACAATCAGATTATTTACACATTAAACTGCTGATTGAAGCCATTTAGGATGAACATGTTTACTTTTTCTGATGTTAAACTGTTTGTTACATATATTAAAACATTATAAAAAAATCAGTTCATGCAATAATTCTGAGTCTGCAGGTCAAACTACACAGGAATAAATACTTATGGATGAGTAGGTAAAAATGTTTTTATTTGGTAAAGTAAGCCTCTTATTGGAGCAGTTTCATAAAATTAATACATTTTATCATTGAAAAATAAAAATATTTGTTTTTTTAAATGTTCTGGGTTTTATCTGAAGTTGATTTGCTGTTAGTAATAAATCCAATAAACCTTATTTAATCTTAGATGTCAAATACTTGTTAATCTCATATGGCTTTATTTTCAAACGTACATAGAAATTTTTTACCGATTAAGAAATTAATGCCATTTTTGAAAGGTTTATGGTTAAAAGAAGTTTTTCATTCTCAAGACAATTTTTTTTCTGTTAATATTCATTTTCAGGAATCTCACTTTCTGCACTCTGAAACAAATTTAAAAGAACTTGAGCAGGGATGATAAAATGATGCTTGCTGCTCAGTGTGGTGTGTCTCCATGTTTCCACCTATCTCTTTCCATCACATAAATCAGAGACTCATACAGCCGTATCTCTTCCTCCTCCCGCTCGCTCCGTCCATCCCCTCTGCCTCACTCCGCTGGCTTTTATTGGGACAGTAGATGGAGAAAACAGAAGCCTCTGCAGAAATCATGCACACAGACAGGGAGCGCTGCCATATGTGGGGGTAAACACATGTTACATTTACAGACTGTCGGGAGGTTGTTTTTTAAAGCATGGTGAGAAAGAGAGGGAGCACATTCACCTGAATGGAAGGTCAAGCGTCAGGTGAGGGTCAAAGCCAGGTCTGTTGAAGCACATTTTCTGGTTCAGTGAGCGTCTACCAAACATCCATTAAGACTGTGTATGTTTGTGGGAGGCCTTCTCTGTCATTAATCTGTTTGCACACCCCCAGAAGCTGACTGAGTCGCCGTTAAGATCCAAAAAGTCAAAGAGTTTCCAGGCAGATGGCACAGCGGGGGTCAGTCTGTGTCTGTGTGCTGAAGAACTGGTGTGAGAAGAAGCCTTTCTGAAGGATGCAGGTTCAGATAAAGAGGCCTGGGGTATGCAATCATGTCCCCAAAGTAGGCGGAGAGGAAAATAAACCACTCAACAAGATAACAGGCACCGTTTAGTCTGCATGTGGAAGGAGATAGAGGGGAAATGGAGGAGGCGAATGGAAACCAGAGGAGAGTCTGTGAGGAGAGGATATGATATTATGCTTCGATACATGCAGCGCTGGTGTCCATAAAATTTTAACAGAGTCGGGCTGCGGCCATTACTGAAGCTTAACGTTTTCCTGCTGCATCCATTCTAAAACCAGCTTTAATGTGCATGGGAAACATCAAACTTGTTCCAAGTTGTAAACTTCTAGCTGTCAATTTGAGGTGAAACCAAATTAATTTGAAGGGTAATTCATCTTCCTCAATATTTGTTTTTATTCAGAGGATGACATTTATAAAGTTAGCAGGCAGGTCCCCTAAAGGTGGACTTCCAAATGGGAAAGCTTGGTGTCTATCACCTAATCAGAGCTTAAAATTCAACATGGCTGCTTTAAAAATAGAAATTAATTATATCTGATAGAAAATAAAACAAAACAAAGTTTATCTACATTTCAATGATTTTTAAATTTCATTAAAAAAACTTGAGATTGTATTACAGTTAGCCTATTAACTGAGCAGCTCAGTGGAAAAATCCTACTTGCTTTCAAGCAGCTGAGATTAATTTAATTTCATTCATCTAAGCTCTGCTTTTAGAGCTAAATTCAAAGATCACTCCTGGTTCAAATCGTCTGCTACAGTTTGTGCCGTGCATTTTTCTTTCTGCTCATTGGCTCTTCTTTACGATTGATTTGTTTGCATTTTTCTCATTTTTAGAACCTCTTAAAATGCAGTCCAAGTGCTTCCAGTAATACTTGTGTCCCAGATTAAGAACGATGGGTGGAACCAATGATTTTTTTTCCCTAAAAGGGCGGTTGCTGGGGTCAAAACGCGCCCTTCCAACAGGAAAGTGAAACCACTTTTATTTAATGATAAAAAATGCAATATGATTTCTTAGCCCTTGTTGTTTTAATCTAAATACTCATGGAGGTTTATATTCTTATAGTTAGTAAAGACTTTGTAGATTACAGAAATTTAAAAAGTTTAAAGCTCTAGCCCATATTCCCTTTTTAGAAATAGAAAAAGATTATTTATTTTATCCTCAGTTCATTCTTAAATATAAAAAGTATAATTTAATCTAAACATACGTGGTACATTAATGTTACCTTTCCTTGCAGACACTGGCCCCTGCACCCATTCCTCCTCTATCTTCTTCCATGTGCAGCCTAAATGGGGCCTGTTATCAATTTATGTCTAAACAGAAACTCAAAAACAAGAGAAGAAATCATAAAAACTGACAGGACTTAAAACAAGAGTGAAGATAAAGCATTCATTTATTTATTTCTCTCATGTGTCCACAAGTTCAGAGCGAGTCGCAGTCACCGACCTTTCTGGTAACGGTCAGAAACAGTAGAAACAATAACGAAAGAATGAATTCAACACGCAAGCTTAAATCTGACAGATTTTCTTCTTTAAATAAGACACACAGGTTTTATAAACCATCCGAAAAACATGTTTAATTAAAGAAGCCAGCGGCTTTCATGTGCGCATAAAAAAACCTGAAAACCAGTTAGATCTGAAAACATAAATCCAAATCTTCAAGCTTTGTCTCCAACCAGGTGACTTTTTAAAAGATAAAATAAGTTTCAACAATCACACATCTGATTAAAAATTATAATGTGAACTAATCTGAACCATACTAATACTGTCAGTGCCAAACTGAACAAGAACGAGATGAATCTGTCTCCCTGGTGGGAAACAAAGCTGCTGCAGGTTAAGCATACATCCATACAAACCAATTATTCACAAACTGACAAAAGAAAAGGATTTTGACACGTCATGAATCAGACCAACAGATATATGATAATACTTTAATGCACACTTTCAAAAGAAACAAGAAAAACAATCTGTATATAACATTTACTTCCTTTATTCTCAGAAAGATGACCTTTCAGTGAGTTCAGATTTCACCTCTTAACGCTTAAATGGACAGAGTGAAGGACGAGGTTTTAAAGGACGACTAACCTGAACAGAAGATGTTGGTTTTCCAGAAGTTGAGACGTGGTCTATATCTACAGTACATCTGTGTTTGAATAAAGGTTCTGCTGCGAGATTCATTGTTGTTCATGAGCAACGACAAATTACAACTTCATGATATCAGTTAGACATATTCCTTTACAATTTAAACAACGGAAAATCCAACTTACAACTGGAGCACCCTCACATTGCACAGCTGTGTGCACCTCTGGGAAGGATGGGTAGAAAGTCATTATGCAACACTAAAGGTATGCACTGAAAAAAATCTAAACCTAGATAAAAACCTCATTTTTTCTTAAAATAAGAGCATTTGTTCTTGGATTGAGGAGGTAAGAGATGCATTTTGCCAATGCAACAAGACAATTCACACTTAAAATAAGAAAACACAATTGCATTGTCTTATTTCAAGTGGATAGTATCTAATTATCTTATTTTAAGAGTAAAAATACTCATTCCATTGGCAAACTACCTCATTTACCTACTCAAATTAAGGGTAAATACACTTAATTTAAGAAACTTTTACATATTTCTAGATCGTTTTTGCAGTGTGGGCGAAGCGTTTTTTTTATTTTTTTATTACATCTATTAAGAAGGAGAAAAAATTTAAAAGAATATTAATGTTACCTGGAAACAAAATGCAGCTAAATTTTTTTTTGCTGATATTTTACTTCCTAAATGTGTCTTTAAAACTTTTAGTTAGTTATTAACCTACTTCTTTTTCCATTTGGGTCTAAACATGAAATGAAACGGAGGCGGGTTTCTCTCATCTACTATGAGAGGAAAACATGACATTTTAATAAGGCGTGTTTTAATTTTAAAAATTAACAGATACAATTGTTCATTTTTGCCTTAAATTTTCAGTATTAAAAGAGGCTGATTTTAATGTTTAAAATTAAAGTTAGACTGCAGGGCATCACAAATGCCAGGTAATACTGAAACATTGTAAATCAGAGTGTGGTAGAAAAAATAAATTTTAACAGGATAATAAACTCAAACATTTGGGAAATAACCACCATAAGGACAAATGGGCGACATAGAGAGACTGTGTAAAGATATATGATCCAATATCTCACTGCATCTGCTCTGAGTTTGTGATATAAAGACCAAAAGCTGTCGAATGGGCAAAAGAAGGCTGTACAAAGTACTAACTATGAACAGCAGAGCTAAAAATAATTATCCTGCTGTAAAAATACACTTTTGAAGCTCTTTATCAATCCTTTCCAAGGTGCCTGTAGGTGAAGGAGGTACTGAGGAATTTAAGGACTTTCTAATCAAAACAAAAAAGGCCTAAATGTTAAAAAGAAAAAAAAAAACATTATAGCAGCAAATGATGCAAAGAGCAAAAGGCAGCTGAAATAAAAATACTTCAACTAATCATAAAAATGTGGCAAAAACGTGCAAGTCTAGCATCAGAAACAGCCTGGATCATTTTATGAAGCTTCAGTCTCAGGTTGAAAACGTTTTCCCACAGTGGAACCGCAGCCTGCCAGGACTTATGGTGAGTGGAACAGATGGTCAGGTGCTTTCTTTCTAAGAAGAGTTAGAAAAATATATCTATTCTGATTGAATCTGCCAATTAAGCACTTTAGACTGACCAAGGAACACCATTTCCTTCAGCTGGCAATGGAAATGTATTTTTCTCTCATAAAGTGTACCAAAAGTCTTCGTAAACTAAAGCACAGAGAACATCTCCAACAATGATGATCATTCTGCTTCAGGAAGATTGTGGCAGCTTGCAGGAGATGTGTGATTCTTTTTGTGTGTGCACGCTCAATTTTTCCTTTTTCTTTTTTTAATTTTGCATGCAAATGAGTGTGAACTCAGTCTCACTCTGAGTGTGTGCGTGTGTGTGTGTGTGCAAAGTCAGCAGCTGTCCTCCAAGGCGTTGACGACTTGTTCCAAAATGTCCGGGCATCGGTCGGCGATCTGCTGCAGGACCTGATTGGCATACTCCTGGAGCTCCGCCCCCTCCCTCTCACACAGTGCTAACTCCGCCTCCAACTAAAAGAAACAAGAAGAAGAAGAACTGATAAGATTTTATTTTATTTACTTTCTTTCCATACCTTTTCATAGCATTTCAGCCTTAGCTGGTAAACAACCAGGCAGCCAAAATATTCCAGTTGGTCAACTGGAGGTGAGAATGTTACAAAGTTTTGAAACCAAGAGCAGCAAACGACAAGTTGACCTGGCTTTGGGAGGAAGCAGCTCTTCCATAACTTTGCGCTGCAAGATGGATTGTTTAAAGATTCCTAATAATACGTCCGTCTCGTGACAATCAGTGAGTCCGACCAATGACATGCCAGAAGTGGTTTTTGGGGCGGGAGATGTATGAATGATGATAGTCATGAGCTGCCAGTGAGGGTCCTTATGCAAGACGCTTCACGCTAATGCCTGCTTTGGGGAGTGGCGACCTAGTGGTTAGGACATTGCTCTTGGAATTCTGAGGTTCTGAGTTTAAGCCCCACTCCCACAGACTGCAACTCTGGGTCCCTGAGCAAAACCCTTAACCCCCACACTGCTTCCCCAGGCGCTGCACGATAGCAGCCCTCTGCTCTCTAAGGGGATGGGTTAAATGCAGAGATTTAATTTTGTTGCTCTGTACTTATGACAGAGTAATGACAATGAAACGCTGGAAAAAAAGTCAAAGAGGCCTTACCGGACATTACAGACAGGACTACGCTGGAGGACTCACCTGTTGATACCGTAATTGACTCGGTATGACCTAAATTAGCGCCAATTTCTCGTTAGGAAAAAGGAGCAAAGAGAAGCGCTTTGTGCATTTGAAGATGGGATTTGGAAAAAAAGGTTGATTTATCAGTTTACTCCACTAGTTGTGAAAACACGCAAGAAGCTGCAGATGAATCCTACTGTGATCATCCTGTCGATTGGCTGAAATCATACTACAGAAGGCGGGTACTAGCTGCCACGTCACCCAATCAGTTTTAAGCCTTGTACTAAATGTCCATCCTTTTTTTAAACACAGATTAAACAGCAGCCATCCCAGATTGATAACGTAGAACTCAACTCAGTTCTACACATCAATCTGATTGTCAGGTTAGCTCTTCCAGGCAGAAAGACACAAAGCATGACTCCTAAGCAGCCACATGCCCTCCATAGAGGGGGTGGGCAGTGACGCACAGGAGCAGCAGTTTCAGGCTGAGGAGGCTCTGATGGGGCTGCGGTCTGATCCTGCTCGGTCCAGCTATGGCTCTGAATGTGAAACGCTTCTTAAGAGAACACATAGGTACACTGTCTTTCTGGGCATGTTGAACAAAACCCATTATCCCAGCGCCCTGAACTACCAAAATAGCTGTAGCTGGAAATAGTAAAGGACTTCTGTCTTGTCTGAAGACCCCAGAGCTTTTTACACAACATTTAGCCATTCACACTCTGATATGTTAATTAAGCTACGTTAGCCACAACTGCCCTGGAAAAACACAAGAGCTTCTGCATTTTCATTTTGACCGTTTTTTAAATAATAATAAAGCATTTATTTTTATACGTTTTTATCACAATCCATGTCAAAAATGATTAATCTACATCAACCATGATATATATTTATAAATTTGCTCTGCAATTATAAAAAAAAAAACTCAACATAAAATAATGAAGTTAAGCAATTGCACTAAAACTTACCTGATGTGGCCTGAAAGGATCGTCTCAAAATTCCTCCTCTTCTGTATTGACCTAAACTGTGTAATTAAATGCGTCAAGTTGGATTCCTACAAGGCTGTTTTCATTAGGTTTGGGAGTTTTGCCTCAAACAGATCATTATTGCACTTTAGCCACCAAGGGGTCAGGGTGTGAATTTCTATCTGTCAAAATGACAGATGGCTTTGAGATTTTTCAAATCCAAATGGTGGTGGCAGCCTTACGCCATGGGGCTGTTCAGCTGCCAGCGTTGCACAAGTAGATGGAATAATAAAGAAGATGAATTACTCTTTAAATTCATTTTGTTTTACTCTAAATTGGCAGCTAGAGGTTTAAAAATGTGCATAAAACTAGGGCTGGGTATTTTCGCCAAAGTCCTGAATTGATTCGATTTTGATTCATACAGTTCTAAATCAATTAATTTCGATTCAATCTGTTTTTACAATAATTAAAGTGGTTTAACTGTGTTTCAAAATACTCATGTATTTTATTTTTTTCCTGTCATGTAAAACACAAAGTGCAAACTTGTAAATCGGACAGTTTAAATTTGAGACGTGAACAAAACGGTCTCAAAAGTGCAAACTTGTTTGTGAAAAGTGAAAAAGGGAAGCCTCACTCGAGCAAGCAGATGTGACACAGTGGGGACACATCTGACACGCATGAGCTGCATTATCTTCCATGCACAAACCATATTTGCAGCGTTGTCTGTAACAACTACAGGGTTTTTGCTGGTCAGCCCCCATTTGTTAATGTCTTCAGTCAAACTAGTGGCTATATTTGCAGCTGTCTGGCTTGAAGTCATCTTGAGAGCATCTTTCCTGCTCATTTGAATGTGAACGTCACGCGTGTCACTATAAAACTAATCAATCTCATTCCCTAGACATCGATTTTGCAAAAATGTAAAGGAATCGATCCAAAATCAATTAAATCGATTTTTTTACCCAGCCCTAATAAAAACCCCAAAAATGGTAAAAACATGGAAGGTATTTGGCAAAGGCGATTTAGGGAGACACTATTAGAGACGAGGCTGCCGTTACATCGAGTCTGACCACCAACAGAATGCAAGATTGGTGAAGGTGTCTTCGCCAAGGACAGAACAACTGATATGGACAAAGTGGGACCGGTGTTCATTCAGACCAGCATACCCTGTCAGATCAGCATACCCATAGTCAATGTGCATGCGCAAGATATCAGATGTCTGGTCCTGTTTATCTCTTTAACTTTGTACGAAAAATATAGTTGAAACTACCTCGACAGGGGTGTATCCTTTTATTCATGTACAAAAAAACAGTTTAAGATTAGATCGCCATACGCTTAAAAAAACCCCACCAAAAAGTGTAACCATTTTTTTTTTTTGTACATGACTAAAGAGATACACGCCAGTTAAAGTAGCTTAAAGTGTATTTTTTTGTACACAACTAAAGGGATAAACGGGTATTGACTATGGGTATGCTGGTCTGACAGTTCACCAGCAATCCACCAATTAGATGACACCTACACGTTGAGGCACGACTGGAGTTGAGAAACATCTCAACTTTGGGGGAAGGACCCACGGAGGAACGTAACTCCGTTACTAACGCAGTCATTATGTAATGCTGTACTCCCAACATTAATATGGATGGGGAGGGGGGGTAGTTCTTGCTGACAGCAGAGAAAAGAGGATCTCTAGAGGATTGAACAGAGGAGCAGGATGGAGCCAAGTATCGAGAGAGGAGGAGGGTGTCATGGCGTAGGGCAGTAACCTCTGCCTCCAGTCCAATGTAGCCCAGTGGTTAGAGGTTTGCCGTTTGTAACTACTAAGCATGTTTGAAGTCAGACACAAAACAACTACAGACATTTAAACACATGAGTCTGTAATCTGAAAACACCACAGCGAGGCTCTCTCTCTGGAACATTTCTGTAGCAGAGCAACGCTGTTATTTTCTTTGGCCACGGTCGAGCTGAGACGTCAAATCTAACTGGCTTAATGACCGATACATCTGTATCAATAAGAGTGCCGCACAAACAGTCATGTAACACAAGCCTACATTTACGATGGTGTGTGTGTGTGAGGCCTGGGTCAGATACTGGCAAATATCCCCTCATTATATCTGAACCTCTCCACTCTCCTCTCATCCTTTAGCCAGAAAACCTTCGGTGGTTTTATATATAACAGTGGCGTTATTCATGTGTAAAAGTGCTCCAAGCAATAATACTAATGATTAATGAAACCCTCCCTATAAAGGACATGCATATATTGCTTATTATCCATATATTGGGCCGTTTTTATTATTGGAGAGACTGAAATAGTTAACTTTTTTTTTTTTTTTACTGAATCTCGGCTCAAACCAGGGGATACAAATTAGGATATCTGAAACCAGTTTTAAACATTTCTATTAAATTCTGGCGGTCTTGGCAGCTTCAGTTTGTGATGCTTGATTCCAAACTGTTGAACTGAATTTGATTACATGATGATCAAAAAATATACAAACTAAAACATATTTATTCGACTAAGCATCTATTTATAGGCTGTAAGGCAGCTTCCTTCTAATTAGCAGTTTTCTCTTATTTTCATATCTATTTATCACTAATATTGTTTGCCGACAAAGCAAGTCAGTTTTTACAGAAACAGATTCTTATAAAATAAATATTAGAAAACCATCTAATTTCATCTACTTCAACTGTCAACTTAAATCTTAGAAAAATCTAATTGCAGGAGCTGCAAAGACCTTTAGCTCAGGAGGGAGAATCAACCACAAGTTTCGTACTAATGGAAGAACGTCAAGAAGGTAAGTAGACTGCAAATGGTTGCAGCTCGCCATGATCCCTGCAGGAGACACAGCGCTCTGGTCAAAGGCGTTAAGAACAGCATCATGCTGAGGGAAAGCTTTGCTTCAGCAGCGAGAGGGACGTTTGCAAGAGTTAATGAGGAAATATAAGAGGCCAAATATAGGGAAATGCTAGAAATGACTTTAGACTGGAGGGAAGGTTGAGCTTAGAACGGGACAAGGATTCCTAAGATAGGCTAGTTTAGTCACAAACTAAAAAGTAACAGAAAATCTGTGCAAGGATTTGAAAGGTTAAGTTTCATTCATTCGGACAGAGGTTGAGCTAAATAGGAGGAATGTATGAAAGCTGGTAGAGACATAAAACAAGACATGCAGCTTTAGGAGCTTCATTATTGACCTTTTGCTTTTAGTTTATGCTCCTCCATAAGATGAAATCCAAATAAAAATATATATTTTGGATATATTTACTCAGTTTGCAAATTTTTACTGTGTAAAAGGGACAATGTAAGGAGCAGAACTAAGCAACGCAACATGTAGACAGTGCTGACGGTGTGCCATTTGGGTTTTTTAAAGGGGTTTATG